GGATACGCTGCAAGCCTGTTGAATGAGGTGACCTTGCTCAGGTCCCAGGTGTACGGTTCCTAAAATAGCTGCCATATACATGTCCACTGATAGGAGACGCGGAAGGTATTAAACTGATCAGAACAATACTAAACACACCACAAATAAGGTTTCTCTCCTGTATGGCTCCTCAAATGATGCTTAAGATTAGAAGCGGCTGAAAGCATTTCTCACACTCCGAACAAAAATATTTTTTTTTAACATTCTCTCCACTTTGAACGAAATGACGTTTGGGAAGAGATTAACATAATTAAACACAGGCAGTAAAAATACAGTTTTTAGCCATACACTGTAACTTTAAAAACTACACATCCCATCTTCATAATTACATATTTGGAATCAGCACACTTAAAACATAAACATAACCAAAAATCAGCCAAATCCATCCAGGGGTTAAAAAGTTAGCTGGAGGTCCCTTTATGACCGACCGCAAGCACATTTTCCTACCCAAAACAGTTCCATAGATTTGGGCTGTGAGGTCGGTCTATTTCAGGCTGAAAAAACGACTAAGTCCCATCGCCAATGGGACTTAGTCTCTGCAGCTGAAATAAGGCTGAAAAAAACGGCTGAAAAAAAGACTGTCCCATCGCCGAATGGGACTTAGTCTCTGCAGCTGAAATAATTTCCCATTTACTGAACCAAGTGGGAAATAGCCAGGCAGCCAAAGGGTTTGCACCAGGTCTAGGACACAGGGGACGTTCATCTTTAAAGGGGCCGTAAACTCTCATCAGAAGTCTGGGGACACGGCCTTAAAGGGGCAGTGTCCCAATCTTCCTGATGTCCCAAAAAAGGTGTTTAAAGGGCCAGCACCAGTCACATAAAGAGTCCATAAGCCCCAATATGCCCACCGACAGTCTTAAAGTGCTATACACACCAAATAAAAGTGCATACATTTTCACAATCTCCCAGGGGCCATAGTCATGCGGGAGGAGGCTGGCAAGTAGGCTTCTCCACAACCCAGGGAAGCAGGGCAATTTGCCATTTAAAGGCCCGTTACAAATAGCAGTTTGTAACAAGGTGTCAATCCATATCTGCCAAGTGACCCTATGCAGGGGGAACAGTCCCTATTCTGCTCTGTGTCAGTGTGTATCAGGGAACCTTAGGACAGGTGTCAATCCATATCTGCCAAGTGACCCTATGCAGGGGGAACAGTCCCTATTCTGCTCTGTGTCAGTGTGTATCAGGGATCCTTTGGACAGGTGTCAATCCATATCTGCCAAGTGACCCTATGTAGGGGGACCAGTCTCTATTCTGCTCTGTGTCCGTGTGCATCAGGGGCTCTGAGGACAGGTGTCAATCCATATATCAAGGTGTCAATATGTCATATGTCAGGTGTCAATCCATATTGATTGTGATTTAGGAATGTTAGGTGATTTCTGCCCTTTATGGATTAAAACCAGACTCTGTATCAACTGTGTAATTTTCCATGGGAGTTTTGCCATGGATCCCCCTCCGGCATGCCAAAGTCCAGGTGTTAGTCCCCTTGAAACAACTTTTCCATCCCTATTGTGGCCAGAAAGAGTCCCTGTGTGTTTTAAAATTCGCCTCCCCATTGAAGTCAATGGCGCTTCGGGCGGTTCGCCGGTTCGCGAACATTTGCGGAAGTTCGCGTTCGCCGTTCGCGAACCGAAAATTTCGGGTTCGCGACATCACTACTTATAATCAGCAGAAGCAGACTCAATATTTAAGTAACCAATAGTTGCCACTGTCAAGGGACAGTTACCTTGGGAGTTTGTCTTTGATCTATGTCTCTGTAACGGACCGTTTTGCTCACCAGAGGTTAAAAACCATTTAGGCGATATTCCCCTTTCCAGATACACCGACAGCTACTGTAATCACCGATCTCCCGAACTGGAAACACATGAACACTGGAAATATCCAAACAGGAAAACCATACGAAAGGGTTACACTCCTGGCAGTCAGCATACAATCCAATTTCCCCAATAATGAGACGACACTTAGTTTTGAGGGTTAAGCAGAATCTGACTGTACTGGCACATACAGCCTCTTTTATTCCCAATCCACAAACTTAGTACTGCCCACAGGGTTTTACAGAACAACCAATCAATCTGTACAATACACACATACACTCCCACACAAAATCCTCCCCTCTGCCTGTGATATGATTACTAAACTCAATGGTTAATCTAATTATCACAGACAGAGAAATACAGTTTTCATAAAACACGCAATAACCCCATAAAAGTATATCATTGGAACCGGGGGATCTGGGTGAACCACATATCCAAAATTCACCCAGATCCGTTCAGTACTTTGGAAGATACAGTTTAATGCAGATTCTGCAGAACATATACAGGCTAAATGAAAAAACAATCACTGTATAATGTGTCCCCTGCTGTATAGTCCAAAACCACTGCACGATGTCTCTGTGCACCAAATACTGGCGAGATGGCACCGTGTTGAAAAGTCCAAACAGTGTCTGTGAGTTAAAATGGCCGCTATCCATTGTTCTCACCATGTGCTTCATCCATTGTTATCACCATGTGCCTCTGATACAGGAAATGGTGGCCACCCAGTAACTCCACAGTATGTCCCCAGATGGTTCTTAAAGGGCCAGCAGCAGCACAACACAAATCCCTTATGCCCAAATCGTGTCTTTAAAGGGCAATACATCCCAGGGGCCATAGTCACATGGCAGGAGGCGGGCAGCCAGGCCTCTCCAATATCCAGTGGCGAGGCGGCTTTCGCCACATTTCTCCCCTTTACCATCCAGACTAACAGGGTATCTGACCTCCTGTCGGTCAGTGCCCTGGTTAGTGCAGCAACCCACCCACAGAACACCATCAGCAATACAGCCCACCCACAATAAAGAGTTACTAAACCTGGGGTAGTGGGTCGCTTGTCCCTGTCCAGGAGCTCCACCTCGGCTCTGGGGTTTACTGGCACTCCAGATCGGTGAGTTGCTGAGTGGGCAGAGACCAGTGGTACTCTGCCCTGTTGCCAGCGCAACCTTGTGAGTAGCCTGGTTGGAACCAAGTCGAGGGAATGGTGTAGTAAGCTCCTCACTCTGGACCCGGTACTGCTGCTGGAGGGGGAGACTGACTGTCTCCCCTTTGGCTAAACAGCCCTTCTGCTGGGGGACAGGACCGACTGTCCCTACCCCCGGTGGTGCATGTGCAGAGACCACGGTCCCATCTGCACTGTTGTGGAGATTCCTGTCTTCCCTTGGTGGGCTAAGCTGCTGCTGGGGAGAGGAGGTAACAAGCTCCTCTCCCGTACATACTTTCAGCCGCTGGGGAGAGGGGATAACAAGCTCCTCTCCCTGACACTCTCTCTGCTGTTGGAGGGGGAGACCAACTGTCTCCCCTTTTAATATATTGTCCTGCTGCTGGGGCGCGAGACCGACTGTCTCCGCTTCCTTCAGGACACACTGCCGTTGGGGAGGAAGGACTGCACCTTCCGCTCCCTGGGACTCACTGGACTGCTGGGGAGAGGGACCAACTGTCTCCTCTCCTAAGGACACACACTGCCGCTGGAGAGGAAGGACGGCACCTTCCGATCCCTGGGAAACATACTGCCGCTGGGGAGGAAGGACGACACCTTCAGCTCCCTGGGACACACACTGCCACTGGGGAGGAAGGACGACACCTTCAGCTCCCTGTAACACACACTGCCGCTGGGGAGGAAGGACGGCACCTTCAGCTCCCTGGGACTTGCTCGGCCGCTGGGGTCTCTCCCCCCTGGCCAAATCTGCTAGGAATTGCAGGTATTCTCCTATTTTTTTCTTGACGTGCTGTACGGATCTCTCCGAGGGGTTGGGTCCATAGACAGGCAGCAACGCATTAACCTCTCTGTCAAACTGCTCCTGAGTGTAGCCAGGCGCCATGCTTGCTCTGCCGAAGTTGGTTCCTTTTGTAGATAGGGTCGCTCTACGGGTACTAGTGTTGCCCTCAATTTGTAATCCAGGAACTGGTGTTATCTTGTAGCTGTCCTTCTGGGCTGTGGAAATGATCCCGTCGCTTGCCACCAATTGTAATGGACCGTTTTGCTCACCAGAGGTTAAAAACCATTTAGGCGATATTCCCCTTTCCAGATACACCGACAGCTACTGTAAGCACCAATCTCCCGAACTGGAAACACATGAACACTGGAAATATCCAAACAGGAAAACCATACGAAAGGGTTACACTCCTGGCAGTCAGCATACAATCCAATTCCCCCAATAACGAGACGACACTTCGTTTTGAGGGTTAAGCAGAATCTGACTGTACTGGCACATACATCCTCTTTTATTCCCAATCCACAAACTTAGTACTGCCCACAGGGTTTTACAGAACAACCAATCAATCTGTACAATACACACAGACACTCCCACACAAAATCCTCCCCTCTGCCTGTTATATGATTACTGAACACAATGGGTAATCTAATTATCACAGACAGAGAAATACAGTTTCATAAAACACATCACAGGGACCCCAAAACATGCAATAACCCCATAAAAAATCCTTGGAACTGGGGGATCTGGGTGAACCACATATCCAAAATTCACCCAGATCCGTTCAGTACTTTGGAAAATACAGTTTAATGCAGATTCTGCAGAACATATACAGGCTAAATGAAAACAATCACTGTATAATGTGTCCCCTGCTGTATAGTCCAAAACCACTGCATGATGTCTCTGTGCACCAAATACTGGCGAGATGGCACCGTGTTGAAAAGTCCAACAGTGTCTGTGAGTTAAAATGGCCGCCATCCATTGTTCTCACCATGTGCTTCCTCCATTGTTCTCACCATGTGCCTCTGATACAGGAAATGGTGGCCACCCAGTAACTCCACAGTATGTCCCCAGATGGTTCTTAAAGGGCCAGCAGCTGCACAACACAAATCCCTTATGCCCAAATCGTGTCTTTAAAGGGCAATACATCCCAGGGGCCATAGTAACATAGCAGGAGGCGGGCAGCCAGGCCTCTCCAATGTCCAGTGGTAAGGCGGCTTTCGCCACAGTCTCTGTTGCTATATTTGCAGATTTTGTTATATTCTGGTTGGATTTTCAGGTGTTTTTATTGCCGTTTGTATTTATACTAATTATTCTGATATACAAAGTGTTAGTATTGCTAAGATTCCTGGATTCTATGTTTCAATCTTCATTAAACATCAGTTTAACAAATATCTTAAATGTTTCGCTTATGAGTGCATGCTTATCTTGCTGTAATATTTAGATCTACATAAAAAATATACAAGTAGTGGAGCGCTGATTAAGATCAAACAAGAGATAGGGAAAAATAGGGGACCTAACAACCTATGTAATATAAAATATATGAATAAAAAACCCTTTCTCTTCTAATAAATGTAAACTAGCAGGTATATAACCTAATAGGTACACTGTAATAACTTAAAAACTTGAAAATTCTATTCCATTTATTAATAGTCTACCATCACACACATGTGTGAAGTAGACTTACTCTCATAACAAAAGAAAACATTTAAAATAATTTAAAAACAAAACGAAAGAGTCCAGACCTTATTAGAAACTCGGCGTCCCGAGTCAGCAAGTTGCAAAGTGCTATTCATTCATAGCACTTTGCAACTTGCTGACTCGGGACGCCGAGTTTCTAATTGTAGGGGACGAGCAAGAGAGGCCTTATTACTTTTTTATGTGCATATCTGAGTTCCAGCTCTAACTAATGGGGCAGAGTTCAGTACACAGACCAATGGGAAGCTGAAATGGGTGGGAGTCCCAGATTTTCACTGATTGGGAAACCATTTGGTAAGCAAACAAGAAAGCATCTATAATATTGTGAATGAAAACAAATATATCGATACCCATGCCTCCAAACCTACTTCCTAAATTCAGTGGCATGGGTGCATATATCTACATTTATTAATATTGGGGCAATAAAACAAAACTTAATGTTTATTTAAAACATTTAAAATATTTTAGCAGGAAAGGGCCATCTATATATATAAGGAGTTAAAAATAAAGGACTATGTTAACTCTTAGTTAGATGAAATGGCACAACTCAAAATCTACATTCAAACCTTGGAGGTGTAATGTTCCCAGGTTAAAAATCCATTTCATTTCACTTTGGCCTAGGTTTTTTTAAATCAAATTACCTCCATGCCAAGTAATAGGAAATTGGTATGAAGGCAACTTGATAAAAAAAACCTAGGCCAAGTAAAATAGAATGGATATTAATATATGTGTTTTCATTTACAATATTAGAGACAACACTTTTATACTATATGCATATATTCATAAAATGGAAGTATCTTGTCCAAAATGTGGATCTGATAAATATAAAAAATGCAAAATATAGTTATAATACTTATTTTTATATTCTTAGTTTTTTTTGTCTTCTCTTTTTTTTCTTCTTCAATTTTCTATATGCCTGGTTTTCCCTTCATCTATCCCATACACAATATGGCCGTTGGACATAGAGGGTATCCATCCATGGTTGCGCAACAGACCTCAGTGACAGAGGTGACATGTGCAGTACCGTTGGGGTTATCCGGCAAAGCTCCTTGTCCACCACCAAGGTGTCATGCACTCCATCACTTCCCCCGACAGGGGCCAACGGCAACACCAGACTTGGGGCCTGCCGACAGATTCACCGCAGGAGATCCCAATAAAGTTCAGCGGCTTTCTCCTGAATGGACTCTTAAGCGGCCACGATGCCGGATGGGTATCATATATCATCACATATAGACATATAATGCCCTACTGTTATTCACATGTTAACACTGTTCTTGATGTATAGCTACATATTGGTCCACAGTTCCAACCTCCCTAGTTGCAGGCTAAACACCTATGGTTAGATCCTGACTCTGTCCAAATAGGTTCAAAACTCCATACGGAATGTACTCTCCAGTTTAACAGGGTTTAACACCACACAAGGCAGCACTGAAATATCGTTTTATATGTAAAAAAAAAAAAAAAGTTTTACCAACTGGTTGTATCGCAATGCTAATATTCTTCCAACAAGGGAGTTACCAAAGGCATTTTATTGCTTTCGAGCTCTGAGCCTTGCTTGTGGTTGCGACTACGTTTTCCCCATTTTGGGAAGCACCCTTAGCCACTACCCCCACAATTCATCCATGTGTACTAGATGGAAGGCTCACGCTCACACGGGTTGAGCGACTACACTTTATTGTTTCCGTCTATTTCTTATCCTTCCCCATCCACCTGAGTTATATCCCCCCTATACCCTCATTGCACCAGTGCCCCACAAACCACGGACCCAGACAAATCACTGTAATGCCCTGTTCGACTAACGACTCCATAAACCCGGCACTTTATGAAAATAGTAACTTATAATGTTAAGGGGTTGAACTCCCCGGGAAAGAGAAGGTTACATTTCCAAGATATTAAATCAAAGGGAGTGGACGTGGTCTGTGTCCAAGAAATGCATTTCAATAACAAGACGTCCCCTGCCCTTTACAACAAGTGGTTCCCTAACCAATTCCACACTCTGTCGGTTAACAAGACTAAAGGCATATCTGTTTTTATACATAAGAACTTAACTTTTGATTTGCAGAGACAGTATGTAGACCCTGAAGGCAGGTTTATCATACTATTGGGTTTGTTCAATGATGTTCAATACACCTTGGTGTCAGCCTATTTCCCAAATGCAGACTCATGTACATTCCTCCATTCCCTGTTAAGTAGAGTTGAGGAGTTCCATCAGGGAGGCTTAATCCTCTGAAGAGACTTCAACTTTATACAGTCTCTGGAAACTGGACACCACTGCTAACCCTGCAAAAAACAGAAAGAAGCGTATGTTAGCCACTTGTAAGAAGTTAAACAAACTACTGTCCGAATATAACTTGTATGATGCTTGAAGAGTTCTCCATCCATCAGAGCGTGACTATACCTTTCACTCGAGAATATACAACACTTATACACAGATTAATATATTTTTTTCCTGACCGGGTGGCCCTAGCACAATTGACCACTTTGCAATGTAGGCGTTATCTCTTGGTCTGACCACTGCCCTGTGACCCTAGAACTAAGTGACTCTATGCAAATTCGAGGGAAAGGGTCCTGGCAACTGATGAGTCCCTACTCCAAGACAGGCAATTTGTTGCAAACAATGGCAAAGCACATACAGACTATTTCATACTTAACTCAGGACAGGAGACCTCGGATACCACAGTGATGATGGCTCATAAAGCTATAATTAGGGGTCTATTCATAAGACATTCTTCTTATCTGAAGAAATTACATTAGTCCTCCCTCTTAAAATGTTTTAAACAAATAGCCCACACCTCCACCCTGAATAAATTTAACCCATTTCCTTCATATCTGGTGGAGATGTACAACCCTCCTACCAAATTGGAAGTCCATACAGGACACACTACTGAACCTCACAGGATGTACCATTCCTCTCCAGCCACTTGCGTACCTATTAAACGACCTACCAGAAAAACTCTCCTGTAAGATACGGAAAGTGGCACTACATGTACTAATAACGGCTCAACAAATGATAGCAAGAGCATGGAAATCGCCCCCTCCCCCAAAACTAGCTGATGTGATTGCTGAGATCGATACACAGCACCTCTACAGATCCAAATTCACTTCCATTTGCCCCCCCCACACGTTGCTCCATAGAGGCTTGGATGTTGTGGGACATGTGGAGATCGGCACAGCTTTGATAAATGTAACCTGTGGTGGAGGTGAGAACATATGGGAAATAATGGTAATGTTCTGTAACATATAGGAATGTTTGGTAACGTATAATAATGTTTGTAATCTATGGTACTGCTCCACAAATGTATAGAAGATTGCTTTATTGACGAATGGGCATGATGCCCCATGTGATTCTGTTCACCATGTATAACATTACCTGCTGATGTGCACCACCCTCCCCCTCTCTGCACTTCCCTCTTTTCTTTTCTGTACCCCCCACCTATAGTTTGAAATATTAATACAATTTTAAATGGGACAAAAAAAGAAATTCAGAATGTGCAATAAAGGAAATGTAAAAATTAAATATGTGTGACAAAGACTCATGAACAAACAATAATCATTTTATGAAGTTTTAAAAATAATATAATTTATTTTTATTTTTTTATGAAGTGTATGTAAAAAACAAAAACAAAAAAAACAAGAGAATATTAGCAAAAACAACATATGGTATATGGCAGAAGTCTGGATGTTTAAAGATAACTTAATAACCAATGAATTGTTAGCACCATTTTGATTATGTGACACTCAGAAAGATCTATTGAAGCTGAACACTTTTTAAACCCTGTGGTTTTATCAATAAATTATTCTAATTATTCACAACCAGTTGAAACTATAAGAGTTTGTCTATTTATTGTTCCATTCTTCAAGAAAAGGTTGGCCAACTGTAGAAGATACCTCTGTCAGTTAAAGAACATAAAACAACAGTTTACATCTCTATGACATGCACAGTTTTATGTGACTGCGCCTTCCTAATGTGCAAATCATACTGATGATGTGTATGTATTATGATGAGCCTGTCTTTGGTTCTTCATGTGTGTATCTGTGATTATGTGACTGTGTATATGCCTGTATATACTATACGACTGTACGTATCTGTAATTATGTTCCTGTTACTGTGCAGGGTTAGATTTAGTTTCTTCAAAGCACCCCCATTATATATATTATAAATGACAACCCACCTGTCAAGATAATGAATCTATGTATAAAGAAGGCAAAGGACTAAACAAATAGTAAAACATAGTTCTCCTAATAGTAAATTATGTTTTATTATTTGTTTAGTCCTTTGCCTCCTTTTTACTTAAATTCATTTGTTTGTCACCATAAGGGCAGTTAAATCTAAAAATGTCCCATCAACCTCACCTCACAATTAGACACTGACACCGCTGATGTATAGATAAATGTGTCCACAGCATTAATTAATTAATATATATATAAAACTAAGCTTTACATAACCAAAATCATTTTCCCCCACCAGAGTCATAATATATCTGCACATAACCCACATAACAATACAAGGCAATGACCCACATACATGATTAATAACATAACAATAACAAAACACAAACAATATATGAAGTGCAAACACATTTACTTAACCAAACCGTGGTAGGTATATTAAAACACAAAAGCAAGTAAAAAGGCGCTACATGTGATATAACCACAAAATTATAAAACAAATATTTAAGTGAAAAAACAGCACCTAAAAAATGTAATAGCCCACTAATTACAGAAATTAAACACAGTAAAATTAAAAAAGGTGCGCTGTTGCTTTAAAAATAGTGATATAAATAAACCACTTAAAGTGCATATAATAGAGATCTCCACTTTTAGTAAAGTATCAGATTAAAAAATGAATATACAAAAATCAACAATTCAATCTAAAAATATAGACCCATATATGAAAAATCAAATAAAAACTCAATATAATTTTACATAAAATAAATATAGTTTTCAATATCTGAGTATTAAAATTACAAAAAAAATAAATGATCTGATGGAATTAAATTCCATATAACTATTGAAATCCACAAACTAGTTATTAAAAGAATGGAGGAAAGTGGAGCTCTCCTGGTGGAGGCGAATAAACATATATATTCCAAAAACAATCCCAGCCATACTTAAGTGGGAAAAAG